TCAGCAAATAAGGGATCTTTAGAGGTAGAAGTCGTGTACTTGGCAAAATTAAGGGGGAACGTAGCTGTGAACTTTCAAATTCCTTATAAGGGTCATCATTTCTGGGGTCCATCGATAGATAGTGTGATGAAGAGTGGTGGGTTAGAAAATGAAGTGATTATAAAAGAAACTATCAAGTTAGGTTTCTACACGGATGCGTCTTTAAAGGTATATGATAAAGTGTCTGGACTGCCATTGTAACAGCATTAACTGCGGTGTTTGGAAATTGTTGTTATGGTTCCAACATTTGAAAGACTTTTTAATATATTATCTCCGTTAAAAAGACGTTCTGAGGTCCATAGAGTTCACTTCTACTATTTCTAAAAATATCTCTCTGTGCGTGTCTATGGTTGTTTGCGCATAATCGTTGCGCATAAAATTTTGTGAATTCACTAATTAAAAAAGTAAGTAAATATAAAAGTCTTTTTAATGAGAAATAGAACATTCAATTAGTTATCAAATGGGAAGTTGATGGTGTAGTCTGACCGAATCGAACCGACGCCCATGTTTATTCAACGGCTTTTCGGTATAATTTTCTACTAGCAAGCAAATTTTTTATAGAATAAAGGTGACAAACGGCAGCCACGACCACTAGTCATCGGCGAAGGACAGGATTATAGTGCCCAAGTGTATGCGCAAGCACAGGTGCACTCTCTATTCCCTCACTCTCACAATCCGATGGGACGGTAAACCGACACGACCGGAGAGAGATCAGGCGCAGGACCAACGAACTTTACGTGCTTTCCGAGGCACGGTGGTGAGATACCGCCAACTTACTAACTCCGGGCGGGTACTGAGAATTTCTTGATGGAAAAACTCAATAACTGATTTTTTGGCCCGACCCCGGAATCTAACCCGGGACCTTGTGATCAGCAACCAACGAGGCAGTCAGTGACAGAAATAGGTACTAGGGTCAACCTACCCAGATGGCCTCCTATGCCGAAATAGAGTCATACCATCTATGAAAGTGTATAGGGCTTGTTAAGAGTTATGTCTTAATTGCTGTTACGCTTTGTACGTCATCAATATCATTACAGCCCTTCACAAGTTCACTGCTGAACATAGGCCTCCCCCAAGGAAAGCCTCAAAGCACGGCCCTGAGCCACCTGCATCCATCGACTTCCTACATGTCTTACCAGGTCGTCACTTAATCTAGTGGGGAGACGCCCTACACGACGCCTCCCCATCAACAATGTCGGTCACTCTGGTTCTACTGAGGATATCCTCATTTCTGTTTATTAAGCAAAGAAACCCCGAGCGTAGCTTTCTCCATAGCTCGCTGCGCGACCTTGAACGTTCTCATACGGCCAGCAGCATTGTACGTATTACATACATAAACTTTGGAACACCCTCCCCAATGATATTAAGAATGCCACAAATAAGAAACTCTTCAAAGTTCTTCTACGACAACATTACCTGAGGGCAAATACTAATTGACATTATTTTCCTTTATTCTTTTCTTTTTTCTTTTTACTTCAAATATTTATTTCATCACATATTTTTGAAACATTATATTATATATATCATTCATACGGATATTTATTAACGAAGTTTATGAGCATGTATATATATATATATATATATATATATATATATATATATATATATATATATATATATATATGTGTATATGTATATTAAATGTTATGTGTATGTATGTACTTTGTATATATATTTTAATATATGTACACTTTATGTATTATGTTCGCACCTGGCAGTAAATGTCCTTGGCACCCAGGGTTGACTGGCAGAGAATGCCATATGGCATTAAGTCCGCTCTATGTACCCTTTAACTTAAGGTGTAGTTTTAAAAAAAATAACTCTCACGCCTGTCATCTGGAGAGGTAGGCAGAGACTACGGAGTTCCATTTGGTACGATCCTGACACACATCTCTCCCCTCCTTTAGTACTTTCGTTTAGTACTTAGTTTTGTACTTCTAATCTGCCTTGTTTTCGCCACTTTGGTCAATAAAATTTCATCTAGGACGTCCCTTAATGACTCTACCACTCACATCTGCAATATTAATTTGCTTTGTCACTCTTTACTTCTTCATTCTTTCTACATAACCAAACTACTGAAGGATTCCTTTCTTAATCCTGGTCACAACATCATCTTGCAAATAACACATTCTCACCCTGTCATTCAGATTCAGCCCCAGTATATTTTTTATACATATTTTATATACGCTTAGTATAGTATTCTATTGATACTTAGTGTATACACGGTTATTTCTGTAATTTTCATTGTTCTCTACCTTTGTACTGTTACCTATCACTGCCCTTAAGTTGACTGGCAGATAATGCTTTTAGCATTAAGTCCGCCTTTTGAACCTGTACTGCCAAAAAAAAAATACGTCGAACAGCTGGGCACACGTCTCCTGTCATTCCTGAGAGGGCTGCAGGGCAACGAAATAACCCCAATGCATATTGGCGTAATGCCCATATCTTCGAAATATATTTTTTTAATTTCTCAAATTTTCTGGTTCATCACCAGGTTTTTTTACAGCCGATTATCATCGAATTTAGGATAATTTACGATTGATAACGAATATAGGTTCATAGGGATCGAACCCGGGTTAACCGCGTTCACGTTCTGTGAACTTTACAGCGAGCTCTTGGCCCTATCTAACTAGAAAAGCTACTTAAGAATCACTAAGCTTGGTAATAATTTCTGCGGTGACAGTTTATCCGAATATCAAGAAAGAGTAGACTACGCTAGACATACACTTAATCAAGTTTTTATCCGGGGTGAGCCTAAAGGGGCACATACTATACCTGTTGAAGTTCAGCCAGCTTTGGAATTATTTCTCGTGTAGTGGTAGTGTAGATACCAAACTTTCACCTGAATGCCCAGCGAAGACGTGCCCGTACCTTTTCCAAAGTAAGCACATGACTCTAGACTTATAAGAGCTTACTCATAAAAATACGTTAAAGTTAGTATAATGTTTTAAAGTTGCTTTCTTTCTCTTCATTAAATGATAACAAAAAGACAAGTATAGAGTGAATTAATACTTAAGTTAAGCAAGCTATAACCATCAATTATAAGATAACATTAAACAGTGCGTGTCGTCAGTGATAATATATGGACCTGAGACATGGTCCTTAACTTCTTGCCGTGTAAGGAAACTGAAGATCGCTCAGAGCTATGGAGAGGGCTATTCTCGAATTTTCCCTGCGTGATAGACTTAGAAATGAGGATATCCGCAATAGAACCAAAGTAACCGACCCAACGGATCAGTAAGCTGAAGTGGCAATAGACCGACCATATAGCTTGAAGAACCGACATTAAAGGGCGAAAAAATATTCTCGAGAGGCAGCCTCGTACCGTTTAGCAAAGTGTTGGGTGGCCCAGGATTAGATGGATTGACGACCTGTGTGAGATTGCTTGAGGAAGGCTTATGTTCAAAGTGGACCTGTGATGGGTTGTGTTGATGATGAAAGCGATTTCCCCATTCGAAACTTTAACGTCATCATTATATACGAGGAAATGAGACTGAAGTAATATAAATTGATCTTTATAGTATGTTTATTTTAACGATAACTCGGTCTATGTTACAACTCTGATAACAGTGTTATCTGAATATTTATTTTTTTACTAGTGTTTACCTGTGGCAATCTTCGCTTAGGAATTAAACGATAAAATCTTTAGATTTATTATAGTGGTCTTTGGGCAAAACTTTTGAAAAATCACTTTAAGCTTAGTTTTTTTTTTCGATTATTTCGAAAACTATGAGCGTTAAGAGAAAATGCTTATAATAATAAATAACATATTATCTAATTTTTATGTTTATTTTACGTAAAAATATTCTATCAAAGTATCCTTTAACGTTCATAGTTATGTTGGAAAATGACTTTGAAGTAAAAAAATTGATTAAAATCGCTACTGAAAGTTTAAGAACTTTTAGAGAGGGTTTTTTTATAGTATAGGGTGACAAACGAGCACACAGTCCACCTGGTGGTAAGTGAATCTCATGTTTTACGACTTTTCCACAAGCGGTTTTATCCATACCTTCGTCACCATCATCATTACAGTCCTTCACAAGTACACTACTGAACATAGGCCTTCCACAAGGAATACTACAAAGCACATCTATCCTCGATTACGAATCAAGATGCAGATGTGTTGTCATCCGTGAGGACTAAGACGGAATGCCTCGTTTTCAGCAAAAAGGGTCTCCGGTTCTCTACACTCGCCAAACGAAACACAGTAGCATTAAGCTACTATTTCACGGTGGTATTCTGTGAGAGCGTGGTCCTTCCCCGGTCGAGCCGACCCATTCGTGCTACAACTATACCACTAATATAATTGCAGCATGGCTGTACTACCTGAAAAGGGTTTCTTATTTTGTGCTTAAAATTGTAAACCATAAAACTTTTGTTCGAAACTATTTTCATATCTCTTAAAATGTTTGAGATAATCATCAAAACCCATCCATTTAAGTTTTACGATTACACAAAATAAATCCTGCATAGTTTTCGGATAAAATATAGCATAGATGGCGTTGCTCTCTATCCGTTCGTGAAATTTCATCACAACCGGTTAAGTCATACCGCGGATTAGCCGGAACAAACATACAGACAGACAAAATGTTTCAAAAGTTATTCATGTTTCCATAGCACACAATCAACCCCGTAATAAATAAACCCTCGAGCTTAACAGCAGCTAGTTTAGATTTTACATACAGACACATAAATTTTATTTATATGTATAAATTTATGCATACTATCCTATCATCACTACATTCTACTACACATCAGTAATGATTACCTAGCTATTGGTAATAAATGTATTTTTATGTAAACAGTATTTCTGAACAAAAATGTTTCGTGTTTTCATTGTTATAGTAGTTTATCAGTGTGTTTTGTGTAATACTAAAGTACAGATCTTTGTAAACACAGCCTCAAACAAGGACGATGTTTTTGTACACTACTATGGTGTAGATAGAAAATTAATAACCGATATGGAAGTGAAGTTGTTTAATATTACAGATGATAATTTAAGGAGAGGTTTGAAAATAGAACTTGGTAAGGTACCTGATAATATATTTATGAAAGATCCCACGCCCTACAGTAATTTATATCAAAAATACAGATGGAAGCAAATCGAAAGAAATTTACAAGTAAAAAATGCAGAAGTAGTTGATGTACTAAATGTGAATACTATCATAAAAACACATGAACATATAAACAACACAACAAACACAATTCAATCAAAAGTTTCAATATTTGAAACAATAGAAAACACAATATCTTCATTTTGGTCCGAAGAAGGTTTGCCCGAAGATGAAATTTTCTTTGATATTGATTATAACTTTAACGGACGAGCAGTATCGTACCATAATCGATGGAGAAAGGATAATTTACAAAACGCATCTCAATCATTTGGCGTTTCAAAGGATGGTTTTATAAATATTCAGTCAGGGCAACGAGTAACGACGAGACTAAAGGGAACCAAAACAATTCTGCTGATCAAAATCAATTACGTTGCGAGTTTAGTTGGTAACTTGGTAGTAAACTATGCTCATGTTTACGGTAAATACCATTTTTGGGCCCCAAATGTCAATGATATAATGAAAGCAGCCGGCATCATTAATGAAATAATTACAACTGAACTGATAGAAGTGCGGTGCTACAACGATCCAGTTCTGGAGATCTTCGATAGTTCAACAGAAAAACCAATGCGTATAGTCACACCGCCAACGCCATTCCATGTAAGACCTAAATCGAGATATTCTAATAAAGTAAAAAAGGCTCACCCAAAGTAATCAAGTGAAAACCATTGCCATAAGTTAATTAAAAAAAATTGTTAATACAGTGAAACGCACATAATTTTTCCTTTACACATGTGTCAATCATTTATTTCTAGTGACCGGATCATTCTAGTACATTTTGTCACGCGTACTGGTTATATTCCGATCGATCATTCAATTGGATCATTTCAGGCTCCAGTACTCGGAGTCTGTGAATGGGAACCGAAAATTTTCTAACACACACCGGGCGGGGGGACACATGTCTCTGGGACAAGAGGGGAAATAGAATTACTGATAAAGGTCTCGTCGATACTGCAGTTGAATTGTTTGAGCTGTTTGAGCAGGTTAGAGAGTTGGCTCGAAAGTTAGCTAAGGTCCGGAGTGGTTATGTTGAACATGGAGGGTGTTGACGTATATTACGAGAAACTGGCGTCCTCAGTGTTCTGGAACTGTTCTTCTCAGAACAAAGGGCTTGTTCTCAAAAGAACAAGTGACGCTTATTCCAAGAAACAATAAAATAACAATAACAAGATAATCGCTCAGACCTCCCCGCGAGGGGGCAAGAACGGTGCTAAGAAAGATGTGATTCACCGACGTCGACAGCTCGGCCGGTGTGAGCGGGAGACCGGAGGCGCGCGAGCGAGTGAGTACACTGCCGTACGGGGACGGGAGCGCGAACTGTTTGCACGATCACTCGGAAGCGGTGCGCAAACGGAACTCTGAACGTAGATGGCCGGCGCAGTGAAATATATCATAATAGTAACGATTTAAAAAGTAAAAATCATAGTATAGTTTAAGCAAATGTTGATAATACAAAACGGCCCGTACAGATCTTGGTTTGTAATTTGAATTTTCGTCATCTAAAAAACACAGAAAACTTAAAAACCTTTATAATTAATTATATAATCAGCTTAATTATTCACAGCTGGTGCATGAATGTCAAGAAAATATTGCAGGGTAGACATGTTAAAATTGATGAAAATGACAAAGTAAAAATTCGAGCTCAAAAATACCATCTGACTCATAGATATAATATATCTAAATAGATATTATTATCTCTACATCATATTATGATGATCTTTTAACTTTCTCTTACTAATTGAGATGTTAAGTAAAGTAGATAACTAATCACGTAAGCTGTTTGATGATACCTTAATTTTGATATTATGGAAAATAAAACCTAATTGTAACCATTTCTATTTTTGGTATTTCAAAAGAATAATTTGGGCTTGATTTCAGGTCATTAAAACATTTTTTAAACTTATTACTTTTGATACTACAAAAAAATACAGCACAATTTTATAAAATATTTCCTTTCAAAAGTACAAATCATTAGAATACCTTCTAATAATTAATCAAGGTACATAATTTGTCTGGAGGATATGACTTAATAATTAGTACATATTTTTAAATCATTCCATGCAACATTATTTATCTTTATTTCTGGTGCGGCGGTAAGGTCCCGGGTTCAATTCCGGGAATATTGAACCCGAAAATTTGTATGCGAGATTAACTATAGGTAGACTGTATGTGCGTGGTTCTCTATAACCAAAACAAGATGGCGGACGTGGCACGTGGCCAGTTTCGGGCAATGCATTTGCTAGGACCTAATTTACTATATCAGCTGATAGGGGCAGGAGCATAAGCTGCTGTGGGAAATACAAAAACCGGCCAAGAGCGTGACGGGCCACGCTCAGTGTAGGGTTCCGTAGTTTCCCGTCTGTCACAATAAGTGTTCCCACTTAATAGTTTAAAGGTGGGTATCCATATGTTCGCGCTTCAGCAGCGCTCCGCGATCCTGCAACTGCTCCCGGTAGTGGGTACTGTTGTTTCCATTCAAGTTCAAAATGATTTTTCTAGAAAGTCCTTATAAAGTTCTACTTTTCAGATTTTTTTCATATTTTCTAAACTTATGGTTCAAAAGTTAGAGGGGGGGGGACACATTGTTTTTTACTTTTGGAGCGATTATTTCCGAAATTATTGACATTATCAAAAAATGATTTTAGTAAACCCCTATTCATTTTTAAATACCTTTCCAACAATATATCACACGTTAGGGTTGAAATTAAAAAAAAATCACTTCCCACTTTACATATAGGGGGGGCTACCCTAATAAAACATTTTTTCCAATTTTTATTTTACCACTTTGTCGGCGTGATTGATACACATATTGGTACCAAATTTCAGCTTTCTAGTGCTAACGGTCACAGAGATTAAGCGAGGACGGACAGACGGACAGACAGACATGGCGAAACTATAAGGGTTCCTAGATGACTACGGAACCCTAAAAATGAGAGCGGCTCATGCTAGGAAATGCACTTACTTGGGCTATGATCTTCTGGCGGCCTTTTACTCAGGCCTTGGGGTTGATGGCTGATGATTTTTTATTTTTTTATTATACTATTCCTAGACCAACACATTTTTAGCAGAATAAGTGAGCGTAAGACAGAATATTACATTAACATATTAAATATATTACAATGTTAAGTTATAATAAACTATCATAATAAACTCATAAGTTATGGGTCTACTGGAAGATATTTCAGCGAAATTGGAATAAGTAGAACCTTTGTACGTAATTATTATAAGACTGCTTCTGTACCTTTTTTTTTATAGGATAGGGTGACAATCGAGCACACAGTCCACCTGATGCTAAGTGGTTGCTGTGGCCCATAGACATCTACATCTATCCTCGATTACGAATCAAAATGCAGATGTGTTGTCACCCGTGAGGACTAAGATGGAATGCCTCGTTTCCAGTAAAATGGGTCGCCGGTTCTCTACACTCACCATACGAAATACAGCAGCATTAAGCTACTATTTCACGCTGGTATTCTGTGAGAGTGTGGTCCTTCCCCGGTCGAGCCGACCCATTCGTGCTACAACTATACATCTAATATAACTGCAGCATGGCTCTACCACGTATACACCTTAATGTGTGTACATAAAATAAATTAAAAAAAAAACTATTTATTACCTGCAAGATATCCCATATTAGATGCCACAGTACTAATAAAAAAATTAGTTGCATATTTTACCTTCATCTTAGGGATCTTGGTGGGTAAAACATGATTATCTGTGAGTTCAGGTGTTAGTCTTATGGTCTTGTAGCCAAGATTTTTTTATGAAGGAATTCAATATGATGCCATTTGGCTGTCTGAACTTTATCATTTACAACATATTGAAGATCCTTCGTAAGATCGTAAGTAAATTATTTCTAATGTACTTCAAAATATGTGGAGGATCACATAAAGGAATAATCTCTTGATTTTCTATCATTATGACATTTTCCTTTAGCTGTTTTCCTGCTTTTAAAAAGGCACCTCGTGATTTATTTAATACGAATGTAATAGCTTGTATGCTATCAGTACCCTGGTCACAGACTGTAGCAGCCACTGTAAAAACCTGCTTCTAGTAATTTTTTTACGATTGTCTTTAGATGTGTTGCTATTTCTGATACTGGCTTTTTATAATTTTTAAGAAATTCCCAAATCATGAACACTTTTCTAGTCTGACATGATCCCCCATATCAGACTTGGTGAACTTTCCGTCGGTTACAAATTCGATAACCTTGTCTAGTCTCTCACTATATTTTAAATTGGCTTTCGGGGCTATTTCTTCAAAAAGAAGCACACAAAGTATGGAGTGTAGAAGTAAGGAGTACAGACTGTGTATTAAAAAGTGTCCATGGAAAACCGTTAAATAAGGGTGGCGCCACTATAACTACGGGGTAAATTTTAAAGAACTCACCGAAAAATATTAGTGATATAGACGACTTTTTCGAGGTTATATTTACTGAATAAAACTATTTTAGATTTTAGAGCTACTGAGCAATTTAGCAGCACACTTCAAACCGTCGACAACTGCTAAGTTCATTTCATCCCAGTAGCTACTCCAGCGCTGTTGTGGAGAGTTTTTGAACTGTTATTTACCGCTTACAGATGGCCACTTTTTCAACTATTCTACTATGGGAGTTGGTACTCCTTACTTCCACACTCCATAACACAAAGTTTATCTTCATTTATTATTTTCTTGCTTACATCTGCCAATTGAGTGAAGATTTTATCATCAATTCCAGGTTTCACATCTGCTTGACATAATAATTTAGCAAGCGTGCGAGGTGATCTCTATATAAAAATATTACGCAAAAATCGATAGCATTTCGGACTTTGCTTCAGTATCGATAGTGCTTATATTTTTTCCTCAATTTAGAAGCGTCGATCTTTGCCTTTCTTTTTATGTTCTCTAAACTGCATTAATAATAAAACCTTTGCAGTAATTGACAAGTTTTCCAGTAAATTCAAAAATGTAGCGTAATACAGTAAGAATTTTAGAAACATGTGCACCATCCATAAAAAAAATTATAAAGACTTGATGGTATGCAAGTTCTGTGGAATGTTTTAAGTTAAATACTATAATTTTGACACTATGCTTACGAGAAATTTTAACCACGACTTAGTAGAATTTTTTTTCGGTAATACAAGAAGTTTGGGTACGGAATATTGCACCAAACACTGCATGCTTTGAAGGTGCATACAAAACCGTACTTTTAAATAATTTCAAAAAGTTTAAAAGCATTAGATTTTTTTAGAAGATAAAGTAAAAGAAATGCTTAATTCGGAAAGACAGTGCGCCAACAAAGCAGATATGTTTGTGGCTGGGTACTGACAAAATGTTTAAACAAGTTAAAATTGTGTAAAATATGTAAAACTAATTTGATTGCCGATAGAATTTATCAAAATAATGAATACATTAAGAATAAGGAATATTGTTGTCAAGATAAACAGTGGCTATGCTACTGTTGCTCATTGTTTTAATGAAGTACAAGACATTAGGTGCGTTTGGCAGAAAAAAGCGCTAGCAAGCGCTTGTAAGCAAAATGGCGATCGTTAGCGGTAAGCGCTGTCAAATCGTAAGTAGCTATTTTCCTCCAGGACACGATGTTAGTTTTAACCGGGGAACCTAACCTAATTTAAATATATGTTTGTAAAGTATTCATATTAAAAACTTACCAA